TGAGCAATTCTCAGGCTCAAGGTCCTAGAATAAAAATCAGTTCATATCTATTTGCCAAACATTTGTTCTTTGAAGCATGCCTGAAATTATATTGAGCTTACATAATGAGCTGGTACAGACCCTTGCACCTACTTGAATTGTATCTGGAAATCAGATTAGGATGACAGAATACATGAATTTCTAGTGGTTTGAGTAATTACTCCTTCTGGGAGGATACCTCCAATACCTGTAGTATTTAATACAACCAAAAAAATTTCTGATACATGCTTTTGTCAAAAATATCCCAAAATTTTGAGATTTTTGTCCATGAATCCAAATGCATTGACTTTTTTTTTATTATTATTATTTTTATTATTATTTTGTAAGATCTTATCGTTCTAGAGAATACATCTGATCTGCTTACATGGACCCCGCGTGTGGCAATGCTCTCCATTTGCCTAGACAGGAACTGAGCAACTCAAAGAGTTAGGTTTGCTTTCTCTAAGACTGCAGATACAGAGATGTTGATCATCACCTTTCTCTGAGTGCATAAAGAACATTTGCAAACTCCAGAGATGCAGCACCACTAAATGCAGCTGTATGTGGTGAGGCAAGGGGCTGTCACGCACTGCTGAGAAGAGCTGGAAACTGTACATGGACAGAACATTTGAGACAAACCCTCACTGGATCTTTGCTGGCTACACAGCACTCTGAGCTAAAGTCGAGTCAGTAACAGAAAGACTTTCACTAGTTTTCCAACCGTGCTCCCAGAGTACACAAACCTAGGACTTAACACTTTGTGTTGAAAGAAAGATCCTTAGGGTACACTCCCAAAGTGATTTGTCAATGAACAAATCAACTACAACTGAACCAAATTCTTCTAAAAGGTCAAAGGTATGTCCAAATGTACAGACATTAATTCCTGTGTAAGTCTGCTTGGAAATACATGGAGTAACAATTCAGAATTGAAAACACCATCTTCCAGCTAAGTGTGCATGCTTTCTAAGTCAGGTATGACTTTTGCCATCTATCTCTTCCAAGAGCAGTTTTCTCATCAAGTTCTGCACAACTTCCTCAAAGTGTGACTTATAGCAAAAGTCCAACCTCCTTTTAGTTTCAGGTGAATACAAAACTCTAAGCAAAAGCACTTTTTGACCCTTTACTCTTTTTCCATTAGATTCCTGTGGAGGTTGACAGCACTTGAAGCTAATGCTGATGAAGAATTGTGAAACCATAAGAAAGAAAATAAAATTTCTAAGTGGGTTGCTATGAAACCTTTGTATTTTCATGATCTTCTCACCCCCTCCATTTCTCTCAGATGGAGAAGTAAGGTAGTGGTTTTTGTGTTTGTTTACTATGAAAACTCATAATTTATTCTGAAAGAAACATTTTATACTTCAGAAAATTGGCATTTCTCCAGTGTCCTGAAGCCTTTCCTCAGCCTGTACAGTGGTTACATCGATAAAGTGGCTATTACTGTTCTTTGTATATGGGCTGGTTTCTTATGTCCAGTACAATCGTATATATCAAGGGCAATTTACCAAGATCTAAATCTGACTTCAATTTTCTAATATTCACAGTGTTTTTTGCTAGCAAAAAAAAAAAAAAAAAAAAAAAAAAAAAAAAAAAAAAAAAAAAAAAAAAAAAAAAAAAAAAAA